TAAAAGGCAGAGACTACCAGACTGGATTCAAAAAAGCAAGACTCAACTATAGGCTACCTACAACAAATATACTTAATAAAAAGACACAAGAGGTTAAAAGTAAAAGGATTAAAAAAAGATGTAACATATTAACACTAATCAAAATAAATCTGGGCTATTTATATTAATCATACAAAGTAGATTTTAGAGCAAAGAATATAACTGAGAACAAAGAATTTCATAGTGATAAAGTGGTCAGTTCATAAAATGGAAAATTCTAAATGTTTATGCACATAATAACAGAGCTTCACAATATATAAATGAAAAACTGGTAGAACTGCAAGGAGAAATAGACCAATGCACAATTATATAGAGAGATTTCATTATTCTTTCCTCAATAAGGGATAGAGTAAGTAGACATAAAATCAGAAAGGAAACAGAGACTGCAAATACTATCATCCAAGGTGATCTCACTGTTATGCAAAGAACCGTCTAGTAAGCATTTGAAGAGCATACATTCTTTTTCACCAGCACATGAAACATTAACCAAAATAGACCATATTCTGGGCCCAAAAAAGGCTCAATAAATTTAAAAGGATTTTAAGTCACATAAAGTATTATCTCATCACAACGGAATTAAAATAGAAATCAAGAACAGAAATACATCCGGAAAATAATCAAGTATTTGGGAATTAGGGTAACATAGTTCTAGCTAATCCATGGGTCAAAGAAAAAAATCAAAAGGGAAAGTAGAAAAAGACTGATCTGAATAATGATGAATATGCAATATATTAGAATAAAAAATTCAGGGGAAGTTTATAGCACTTAAAGGCCTATATTAGAAAAGAAAAAAAGGGGGGGGGAGGGGTGCCTGGGTGGCTCAGCTGGTTAAGTGGCTGACTCTCGATTTTAGCTCAAGTCATGATCTCAGGGTCCTAAGACTGAGCCCCGCACTGGGCTCCTTGTTCAGTGGGGAGTCTGCTTGAGGATAGTCTCTCCTTCTCCCTCTGCCCCTCCCCCAACTTGTGCACACTGTCTCTCTTACTAAAATAAATCTTAAAAAAGAAAAACAAAGTTCTCAAATCAATGACCTCAGCTTTCTACATGAAGTAGTAAAATAAGAACAAATTAAATCCACATAAAAGGAAATGTTTGCAGAAATTAACAGTGTGATTCTAAAATTTATAATGAAATGTAAAGCACCTACAATAGTCAAAACAGTTTTAAAAAAGAACAATGCAAAAAAAAAAGAAAGAAAGAAAGAAAAAGAACAATGCCAAGGTACCTAGGTGGCTCAGTCAGTTAAGTCTCTGACTCTTGGTTTCTCATCAGGTCATGATCTTGGGATCCTGGGATTGAGCTTACTACTTAGACACATCACCAAAGAATATATCTGGATGGCATATAAGCACATGAAAATATGTTTGATATTATTAGCCATCAGAGAAATGCAAATTAAAGCCACTATGAGATAATACTATACAACCACTAGAATGGCTACAATTAACACTATACCAAGTCTTGGCAAGGATGTAGAACTGGAACTCTCAAACACTGCTAGTGGTAGTGTAAAATTTAGAAGTTTGGCAGTCTTTAGAAAGGTAAATATACACCTTCCATATGTCCCAGACATTCCACTATCCATTCACCTAAGGGAAATAAATGCATATGTACACAGAAACTTTTGTATACAAATATTTATAGCAGCCTTATTTATAATAGCTAAAAGTGAAAATAAGTCAAACAGCTATCAATAGTTGAAAGGGAAAACATTGTCATATAATACTAAACAGTAGAAGATGAATGAACTATTCATACACACAACATAGATGAATATAAAAATAGTTTTTCTGAGTGGAAGAAGCCAGATAAAGAGTTCATATCGAATGAATCCATTTATAGAAAATTCTAGAATCTACAAACTAATCTATAGTGATAAGAAGTAGATTAGTATTTGCCTGGAAGGGAAGGAAGTGATGGGGAAGGGAATGGAGGGAATACAAAAAGGCACCAGAAAATTTTGGGGGGTGTTGGATATTCATTATCTTTTTTTAAAAGATTTTATTTATTTATTTGACAGACAGAGATCACAAGAGGCAGAGAGGCAGGCAGAGAAAGAGAGGAGGGGAAGCAGGCTCCCTGCTGAGCAGAGAGCCCGATGCAGGGCTCGATCCTAGGACACTGGGATCATGATCTGAGCTGAAGGCAGAGGCTTTAACCCACTGAGCCACCCAGGCATCCCAGATATTCATTATCTTGACTGTGGTGATGGGTGTATACATCAAATTGTACACCTGAAATGTGTTTTATTGTATGTCAATTATATCTCAATAAAAGTGTAAAAAACTATAAGGAAAAATATGGCATAGTTAATACAATCACAATGTTATTCATAATTATTTAACTCTTTTCAAAGATTTCTAAGTGTTTAACATGAAGCCCCAAGAAAACCCAGGTCTTTCTAGCCAAAGGACCAGGGAAATGGCACACTAGTAAGACAGAAAGCATGTAGACAATCATCTCCCTACTCTACCCAAACACCACAGATAAAACTGTGGCCCCACTCACATCACCCTCAGTAAAGGCCAAGTGGGAAACTTAGATATTAACCCTAGCCTAGTTGTAAGGAGATGCCCCTCTTACCTCCCCACTGGAGAGATGTCAGAGAAGATTGAGTAGAGATCCTTGTCTGGCCATAACAAGGTTTCCCCGCTCCTTGATGTCAGTAGAAACCATTTGGTTAAGTCTGGGCTTCCACTTCCACCTAATAATAAGAAGGCACTCCTCCCTGCAAGGGTGGTATCAGTGGAGGCCTCATGGGGAGCCTGAACTTCCACCTCTGCCTAGCAGTTACAAGGCATCCTCTTCCTGACTAGAGTGTCAAGAAAGGTTGAAACACTGTATTTTAACTAACCAGAGTTTAAATAAAAACTTCAAAAAAATAAGAAATCACTTATCATACTAAGATCCGGGAAGACCACAACCTGAAAGAGAAAACAAAATCAACAGAAACCAATACTGAGATGACAAGAGATTAGAATTATCTGGATTAGGATTTTTAATCAGCTATCATAATAAGTTTCTTCAAGGAGCAATTATGAACACAACAGAAACAAATAGAAAAAAAAATAGGAATTCTTAGCAAAGGGGAAAGAAGTTACAAAGAACCAAATGGAAATTTTAGAACTGAAAAATACAGTAGCTAAATTAAAAACTCAATGGATGGGTTCAATGGCAGAAGAAATTGAATAAAGAATCAGAAAACTTGAAAATAGAACAATCAAATAGGTGTAAGATTAAGCAAACTATAGTACATCCATACCAGAGAATATTATTCAATAATAAAAAGGAAAAAAATATTGATACAGGCAACAAATTGGGTGTCTCTCAAAAGTATCATGTTCGGTAAACAAAAGTCAATCTCAAAAGGTTACATATGGTATTTTCTTTATATAATACTAAAGAAACGACCAAGTTTTACAGATGGAAATATAGTGGTTGCCAGAAGTTAGAGATAAGTGAAGGATGGGAGGGGGTGGGCTTTATTCCAAAGGCACAGGAGGCAAGTGGGAGACCTTTGTGGTGATGGAGTAGTCCTGTCTCTTGGTTGGTTATACAAATATTCACATGTGATAAAATGACATAGACCTATATACACACAGAGTACCAATGTCAGTTTTCTGGCTTGATGTAGCACTCTAGTTACATAAACTGTAACATTGGAGGAAATTGGATAAAGGGTAAAAGAGACTTCTCTGTACCATTTTTGTAACTTCCTATGAATGTTTAAAAATAAAATCTTATTTTAAAATATTTCAATATTTTGTATTCAAATTTATATTAAATTTTATATTGATTAAAATGTTACATATGTTTCACATTATACTATTAATAAATATTTTAACATGAAATGTTAAAAAAGAAAAAATAAAATCAAGACATTGGAAATAACTAGAAGCATAATGTAACAAATATGAATGATGGTTATGAATGATGGGTAAGATTCTTCAGGCCAGAGAAACATCCTAGAGTTGGAAAACAAAAGTATTATACTTCTTGTGTCCAAAGTACATAGTACTGAATCACTGACCACCAAAGAGAAATAAAATTGATGGTTACTCTAATTCAAGTATAGGTTACACATCACTAGAGAATGGTTATTTTCAAACTTGGGAACATTATCTTTTGAATAACAAGGTAGAGAACGATGATGGTATATAGCAAGCTATCACTATATGTTTGTTGAATGAATAAATGAATGGGTAAACCAGTTTCCTTCTTATCTATGTCATTATTGTTACATTATCTCAGCCTTTAAAAGCTTTTTTGAGGGGATAGATGGTTAGGGGAGATCAGAATTTTGGATCTTTGGTGATAAATTATTCTTTTTTTTCCCCCCTTAGGGTGGAGTGCTAATAGAATTTTGTTTTCTCCAGAAGTAAAATAGTTTAAAAACCATTGTTCCAAAGCACCAATTATTAGGCAGTGCTAGGCCTATGACCATTTGATTTTGTGACCTTATCCAAATCATTTTAAGTTAAAGTGTCTTTAACTTGGTTGGAGAAATTCACACTAACCATTAATAAGATTGTTAATACTCTGAGATACCACCCTAGAGGACACGATGTCAGAGTAATCAAGATGCCATAAAGAAAATGTTGCTCCTTAGATAAATACAATGATCTCAGCTCCAGCCATTTATAATAAAGTCACTTTATAAAAATACGAAACATAAGATTATCTAATAAAGGTTTATCTGGGTACCATTAATAAAGAAAGAGGGTAAAAGTAGGAAGTATTTTCCAAAAATACAAAAAAAAGGAAAACTAACAGTTTTCTTTGATGTCTTTCTCTTATTAGGTAATAACTTAATAGGGAATTTCCACTAAGACAGAGTCTCAAGAGCAAGGAATGAATGGGGGTGGTAGTCGTGCAAGAAAACAAAAATAGGAAAAGACGAGAAGAGATCTGCAAGTAAAGTTCAGTACTAGACCAAGGTAGTGGCAAAGAGGAAGGACAACAAGGAGTACAAACTTTCTTTTGGACTAATCTCATTCTCTTCTCAGCTCAAAATATGTCCCTTATGCCCACCTCTCCCTTTCTGGTTGGTTCATTGCTTGTCCTTATTGTATCTACTGATACCTAATCAAGATTGATTATAGCAGAGCCTCCCCATAGACTCTGGCAGGTCAATGTTAGTCTGGTTTTTGAAAGGGAAGTTCAATGCAGTTGACAGATGAAATGCAATTAAAGTCTAGAGCCTCGAACCTCATTGGTTTAAATCTTATGCCTGATAATCACCCATCATCATATCCTTTTTAGTCAGAGGGCACTAAAGCTAACTGATGCATCAGACAGAGAACTCCAAATCATGCTGCTCTGGGGAAATGTGAATAATGTACCTCAAATATCAAGGGCTGGCTTCAGTGCTCACAAGCACTATAACCAGTGAAGGCTCTCTAGTGCTAGGTCCAAATATAACACATCCAGCCACTAATTGTTTTCATTTAGTGAAGCCTTTTAAATGTTTAATAATTTACTTTCATTATACTGCCAAAGTCGAGGTCACATAAGGGAGGAGCTGAAGCATTCTGTAGGCATAATTCATAGCTTTCCATTCAATCTAGATATTTCAGTTGCATTGTCATATTTTCAAACTGATAAATCTGATTATCTTTAGAGAGCATACTCATACCACTTGCTCCCTTCAGAAAACATTTTTCATTCACCAATAAACATCTCATCAGAGATGTTTGATTGCCCACCAAATGTACGTTCCTGTAATAGATACTTAGACAAAAAAAACAAAAAAATGGAAAGCAAATTCTTTCCTGAATGGTCAGTCAAAAATGGATATAATGACGTGGTCACTTGCAAATCAGGACAACCACCAAAGCCCAGAAGCTTCTAGGAAATCTCCTTCACTCTCAGGAAGGCTGGAATGCTCTGTTTATTTCCAGAAAATACTTTGATGGCTTAAATGCATTTATATAAGGGCATCAAGAATTGTATTCTACCAATCATCTTTGTAAATCTTATCTGTGGTCATGGGTTCCAAAGACCTTCAATCCAGAAACTCTACCAAAGCCCAATATCAAGCCACGAGATGCTAGTAGCAGAGCTATATTTTCCATAGGCCACAGCAAATCCAAAATCATTCTCATTTTCCTGGGCACAAGGTGATACGTAGGTATTTCTAGTTAACAATAAAAGTAGCTTCTTTGTCACAAAGTACCTATGCAAAGAAATAAACACTTGCCCTTCCTAACACCATGAAGAATACAATCTTACCTATCAACATCTGAAAGGTCAAGAGTTTCAGTTACTGACTTTGCTGAGTTCTTTTATAATAATAACTTAATAATAATAACTTATAAGTTATTATATTATATATATTATATAACTTATATATATAATTATATTATATATAATTAATTATAATTATTATAATTATATTAATATAATATTATAATATTATATTATAATTATTATAATATATATAATATAATAACTTATAATAATTAATTATATTAATATAATTATATATATAAGTTATATAATATATAATATAATAACTTATAATAATTAATTATAATTATAATAATATAATAACAACTTTTATTAATTTCATCTCCCAATAGAATATAAGGGGAGATCACCTTTCCTATCCTCTTCCTCTATTATTTCCATCCAGTTCAGTTCGCTTAATGAATGTACTGGTTACTGACTGTCCATCATCTTTAAAATTAATTTGAGGGGCACCTGGGTGTCTCGGGGGGTTAAGCATCTGCCTTCAGGTCAGGTCATGATCCTGGGGTTCTGGAATCAAGCCACACATCAGGCTCTCTGCTCAGTGGGAAGCCTGCTTCTCTCTTTTCCTCTGCCTGCTGCTCTGCCTGCTTGTGCTCTTTCTCTGTCAAATAAATAAATGAAATTTAAAAAATAATAAAATAAATTTGAAAAGTAGATTTGGAAGAAAACATCATTTGTGTTTAGAGGTAGGCTGGGCACTCATAAAGCCCAGGCTGTCCACAATCCACACATCTGAATTATGCACATACTGTACCATGTGTCACAAAATGTTTTATTCATCCAGCTGGTGACACAGATTTTACACTGAGGAGTGCAGTGCTTCCTAGATGCACGATGCCCCTGTGGGTAGTCAATAAATCTTTATTAAAAGCTTCCTCACAGAGGGAAAAAGGGAGAGACAAGTGAACCAGGGAAGGGCTGGTTGGAAGCTTCTGTAGCTGTTTCAGGAGGGAAGACTTATTGGAAACAAAAGGGAATATCCATAACCTTTCTAGCAGAGGGCACTGGGGACTCAGAGAAGTGGCCACAAATCATTCTGGAATAAAGGGGATTGGGTAGTCATCTCAAGCCTTTGGCAACTAGACTGCTATGCACCAAAAATACACAAACTTCTGTGAGTAAAGCATTGCTACATTTCCCTGTTGCCACCAACAGCATCTGCTTTTGAAAAGTAATGCTCAGTGTTTGTACAGTAAAAATATATATATATATATATATATTTATATAAATATATATATATAAATATATACTTATCCAGTATCTTCAACTATCTAGCCAATAACCTAGAAGACAGCCAATAACATACATTCTAATGATCAAGCATTAAGATGTATATTTGCTCATAAAAATATAGCAAAACATAACATTAGGGTTAGGTTATCATAATAGGATTGCCTATGTCTTTAATGTATAGTCACTCTTAAAATTGTGTCTAAAAATAACAAGCATATTTATCTGGTTCCAGGGGCACTGATTAGGAATGGGGAACTGCCAAATACATCAAGTAGTAACAGCTGATAGCAGTGGAAGAGATTAAAGAACTATAAAAAGCAGATATGAAATTTAAAAAGCATAGCAGTCTGGAGACATTTAGTGTAGGGGCAAATAGTTCTAGTCATATTAAGTGTCCCCAGTGGAACAGATATAGTAGAGCAAAGCAAAAACTTGAGGTCATAATTTTGGCAAAACTCTAACCTTGTCTTGATTTTGTCATATAGTATTACATGAATAACTCCAAGCAGAAGGTTTTCTTGAGGTGGTGTCAAAGGGGGGGTGGTGAACAAGGCACTTACTAGTCATATGGCTTCATGTGCATCAGTTAAGCATTAAGTCACAGATTTTTTTTATCTGTAAAATGTGTATACTTACTACTTCCCTTACAGTACTGTCATAATGACAAAATAAAATACTGTACATAAAAGCACTTAGTAAAACAAAGTGTTAAAAAATGGTAGCTTTCCATTTATTTTGTTCTGCTTACTCCAAAATGGGACTATAAGAATCCATAGTAGTTATCTTACCTTTTTCAAAATTTTCTGTGCTTTCTCATTTAACATATTGCTCCTCCTCTTATATTTGCCAGGGATTATGATGCCATCACTCTAGGTAGAACTGAATCCTATAGGCATCCTTGATTCCTTCCTTTCCATTTATATCTAAGCAGTGACCCTGGCGATTTTTTTAACCCTTCCTATAGCTTTCCTTTGCTTTTCATTCTTTCTGATACATCCTCGTCCCAACCCTTAGAGTTCATCTCTAACTTGTTTTCTTATATTTAATCTCCCCTAACTCATTTGAGCTTTCCTATATCTGCTATAAAGACATCTTTTTGTATGTCATCCCCTGGATCAAAAGCTTTCACTGTCTTCCTAGTGCCTTCAGGATAAAATCCAAACTCACCAAACTGATATTCATAAAAACCCATGGGAGGAACTTCTCACACGTCTAAAGAAAATCTATGCTTGCTTCTTCTGAGAAATTTGTTCATTTTTACCTCATGGACCCCTGCAAATCTTATAGCTAATATTTCCCTCTTTGATCTGTCTGCTAAGACACTCAGAGCCAAACTTAGGGCCCAGCTATAAAATCTCCAGTACTGCGTACTTGGTTTAAACCTTACCATGGCCTCATTTCAGTTTCTTACATTTATTATTCTTTCACACTCATTTCTCTGTCAATTTATTCATCCTGTTTTTGTATTAATTTCTCAATAACCCAACTCAAATCCTGTTAGAATGAGGTAGAGTATAAAATGACATATGATACTAAAAAAAAAAAAAATACATGACCATATGAACAGAGGTGGAAAAGACAAGACTGGGTAGCAAGAGAGGGAGCAAGAATGAAGATGAAAAAGATCTTCAGTAATATTAGTCCAACTCTAAGGAAAGTAGAGAGAACTCTCTGAGGAACATTTACTATAAGCATTTGTAATAATCTAACAAGGAAATAAATGAAGCAGTTATAATAACAAATCTGTTCTTGACAACATCTCTGAAAATAGGAAGTTCTACTGCTAACCTTTTGTCTTAAAATATATAACCAAACAAAAATTTAATGAAGTCAAAGCTAAGCACAATATGATGATGACTTACATTTGTACTGCTTTGCTGCTTACAAAGCCCTTTCACATACAGTATCTCAATGGAACCATTCCGGACTATTCTGTTGTAGAAGCCATTCACATTGGCAAGAAGCTGTTGCAAGCAGCATTCTCCATATCTGGGTCTTTAAAGATGTGGTATTTGCTGTAATAGAAAGTCGGATGGTATGTTGTTTGTCCCCTCTGTCTAAATCCTCCTCTACTGGCATTTCATTTTGTTCTTTAAATCACCAAACTGTACTATGCCAATGTTAGTCTGATCTCTTTACTCGTCCTTATATTGAGCCTCTTTTCAGACACTCGATCCAACCCTCCTTCCTTCCCCTCACCTCCCAGCCCCCAAAGAATAGCTTTCCACTTCTTTGCACGCCTGGACCACTCCCTCTCAAAGCTCTACCTTCCAAGAAGGCATTTGTTTTTGAAGCATTTCAGCTATGAAGACCACCCACTATGTGGCTCGCTTATTGTTCTCATTCTATACTGCACTGTACTAACTTGTATCTTTAGATTGTAAGCTCCTCAGAGAAAGGATTTTCTTCTTTGTTTAGTGCAATCAACCTATTGTAAAGTACTGTGTATACATACTTACAGACTATCACTAATGCGGTTCTTCCTGGGTTTCACTGGAAT